CACTTTAAATTATGGTATTAAACAGAAATTTTCATAAAGGGCCACTGACTGCCATAAGTAGTCATGCTTCAGTGATTCTCTAAATAATCAACTAAATTTTTCCCACAAAAAGGGGGAGGGGGGGGGGGGGGGGGGGTGGCGGGCACCCTGGGCCCCCATAATCCGCCTCTGTTAAATGCTAGTGTAACGTGTAACCGGGAAGGCGTTTATATCTTAAACGATTCTTTTCAATAAATACTTGGATTCAAGCTGTCGATAAACAGTAAGGCGATACCAAAAATCTGCAACTTTCTATTTATGTTATGTACAACGAATTAAAATATATAAAGCAACAACGAACACTTATATATATGTAATACAATCTTACAGCCTGTCCGTCGTATGGATCGGTCTGTTACTACCAGACAATGCGGGTTGGTACATTCTATCCTCCGAGTAGGGCAATGTGTTACTACCAGACAACGCTGGCTGTTTCAGTCTGTCCTCCGAGTGGGCCAGTCTGCACTGTCAACTTTTTATTATATTAGATCAAATTGTACGTTTACATTGTATCCAGTACAAAGTGTGCTCACAATATTATAACTCTACTAGCATTTAATATAGTCGTACGCTCTGTTGATCTGCTGGTCTTCTTTACAAGAACATCGACCGAATTTTAACAGTTTATTGACAGCCTTGCATTGTATTTCTCATCCGCTTACATATCCATGGTCGAATGCATTATTTTTTTGTTCAAAATGTTCTCAATATTTAACGTAGTTTCCCTTAGTACGAACACCCCTCTAACATTCGACCCGACCACAGGCGCTTGGGTACAGGATTTGAATAATTGTGTTTTTATTGTTTGCACTGAATATTCAATTTTCTATTTGTATACCACTAAGCTTGCCTTACCTTGTTTTGAATGAATTTATCCACTCTGAAATCATCCTTTTTTTTTTACTATCCATACTTAAAAACGTTGTTGATTTTAAGTATGGATAGTAAAACATGGGATATTTTGTGGCTATTTGTAAGTACTAAAATGTAAGAATGATAAATGAATGATTTAATGAAACATACAACGAATCAAGGAGTAAACGTTTTTAAAAGTCTATACAAACATAACATCAAATAATCTACACATTTATATAAAAGAATAAAAATTGAATCACACGGTGACAAATAGCTATCTGCACCACAATACCAAATGACTATTCGAAACTTCTTATTCACTTCCTTTACGGAAATTTGGAATATCATAAAAGCAACCACTTTTTAATTATCTTATTTCAATTTTCTATTGGTTACCCAAGAGCTTTAGTTGTAAATCACGCCTATTGAAGTCTGAGTTATGCCGCTTTGTCCGACGAACTTCACTTAAAAGGCGAGAAAGAGGACGCCAATATTCTGTAAAAGTAAAACAAGTCATGACAGCACCCGTTAAACTTTCGAAGAGGGGACTTCAACTTAACCATTATAAATGAACCCATTAATGAAAAGCTTCCATGTAAGCAGCAACCATCTATCAAGAAAATCCTTTTCGAAAACTGAAGCCCCGTAAAAAATATATTGTCAACTGGAAATATATATACTCCATATGAAAGGGCTGCTTAAATGTTGCAATATAAAATATAAATTCACAATGGATAATAAGGTAATCTTGTCAATTAATATTTCAAGGTGTAAGTCAAGATATAAGGCAGATTAAACTGTTTGTCGTAGTCAGGAGCCTGTCATTCAGTCGCTTGTTTTCTGCCTGCCATATTTGTTTTTCATTAATTGTTAATTAATTGTTTTGTTATAAACCAGGCCAATGGTCTTCTAGTTTTGTCATACTGGGGCCTTTTATAGTTGACTGTACAGTGACCTATATAATTGCTGCCATCCACGTCTTTGAACTCTGGTTGATAGTTCTCATTAATAATCATACCATATCTCCATATTGTCTGTTGTGGCCTTTATTTCAACATCAAATCATGGAATCGACATGATCAACATTGTTATTATTTATTAAGAAAACTTAAAATATATAGCTAGCTTGTTTTAATACATTTACGAAGGAAATCACAAACCGTACGATGACCTATTGTTGCTAGCATCAACTTCTTTTGGTCTCTGGTGGATTATTGTCTCATCGTTTTTCTTAATTTTGACTGATTGTGTATTAGTTATCTATTATGATTACAATTATTTTGAAATATTTAATATCGTTGATTTTGGTAAGTTAAAAGATAGTGACTCTGTACTTTCATATTTTTCTTTTCTCAGAACGGAAGAAAAATATCTACTATCGATATTTTACTGACCTAAAATTTGACTTCATGAAAACCAGGTATATCCTAAATTATACATGTATCATCTATCTAAATGTTAATTTTCAACCAATGCTAAAAACCTCGCCACATAAAAGAAAAATAGCTCTCTGGTTTTCTGAAAATATTTATCAAGGATACTACGTACCATATTTACAATAAAATTTTAACGAAACTTCAAAAAGAAGTAAATTGGTCTCAAAGTGGTTCAAATATATTTTTCATTTAAAAAAAAAAATCATTAATGGAAATATATTCGTCAGTCTTAGAAATCAACAACTTATATCCTCAATTCACACCACAACAATGTTACTTGCCCTCGTAGAGCAGTGGAACATTACGACTGAATTATTTGGATTACATGTACCACCATGAATTGATATCTCCGTTTATCACCCTATTCTTTTGAGCATCAAGAAAAGGAAACAACGACATTTAATAAAATCCCACGAAGAAAAAGATATCCAAATTGTATATTTATATAAACGACAATACATGTAAAAAATAAATAAAAATACATTATTGCAATGACCTTTAAGAAACTTGATTTCGTGTGCTATGAATGTCAGTGTAATGACATTTGTTATCAACGTAAAATGTTATGAACCAGCAAAGTCAGACAGGGTTTCTTAAAAAATTTAAAAAAATCTATTATATCTATAGGATTCTTTTTCACTGTACAACTAATCGGGGTAAACACCGCTAGCATAGGTAGTAACGACACAACACGAGCTAATTGACTAGGTTATACATCTGCACTGTCACTGATTTACACTGAATCGTCGACAGGATAGTCTTGATATTGCTGTGGTGGATTGATTTTTTAAACAAATAAAAAGAATATGGAGTATTAGCTCACGACATAAATTTCATACATGTACTGAACCAATCCAAAAAAAGGAGTATAATAAACTATAACATGCCCTGACATGACGAAATGGAAAACAATTTAAACGAAAAAACCAACGGCTTGATTTATGTACTAAACGAATTAACAAAAAAAAAACCAAAAACAATAGACAGCAACCAACAACCATCGAATTACAGGCAACTGACCTAGGACAAGCACATACATAATGGGGCGGGGTTAAGCATGTATACGAGCGCTCAACCATCCCATAACCTGGTAAGGTGGTGAAAAGGAACAGAATAAGAACAAATGGCAAAAATGCTTGACTAATCAGACCGAAACAAAGCACATCAAACTGTCATTTAAAATCATTTTATCATCCTATTAATGAAAACAGTAATTTATTACAGGGGCTACGCACAAATATCTCAAATAGGGAAAATCTGCATGATCATGTACAGGCCAAAAACTAATAAGAAGACAAAAGATGCAGACTAATATAAAAAAATCCGATGTGATAGAAAAAATGGTTAGAAACATGGACATTTACAAAACTTTGATGTTTATAACTGCTATGAGGGTTGTAGATGACTTCTATTTTCATATAAAAGAACAAGGTAAGTCATGAAAATTTAACAAAAGTATTTTCATTAACTTTTAAATAAATATATGTATTTTCAGTGATGAATGCATTCCGATTTCCACACAAATGCATACATAATAATTCGAGCAGGCTACATCCCCGGGGGTTAAAACAACTAAATGTCAGGCCAAAAGGTAAAGTACCACAAATACATATTGATTATAGCTTATATGCATTAGATTATTAAAGTTTTTGTTACAGTATTTGATATCATAATTATAATCACACTAATGCAACTGACAAAGAACCAGGAACCAGGTTACAACTGAAGAGTAGATTCCAGACAGAGAATACAAAGAAGTGAGTATGCATATAGCTAATATAAGTGTACCGACGTTTTTTTAACCTGTGGTAACATTTATACACTTACCATTATAGACACACATAATGTTATCTTACTGCATCTGTATTTTGTCGAATCTGTACATTAATTTTAAGACGTACACACTAAATAACATAAATGTGGATCATAATTATATATAAGTCAATTTTTTATTCTTACACCTGCATTACTTTGCTTAATCTATATTTGTTTATTTACATACAGTAAAGGACACATAAGGTAAGTATACCATATTGTTATATTTTCATATTTTTATATTTTCACATAGTAGGTATACCATATTGTTATATTTTCATATTTTTATATTTTTACATGGTGGATATACCATATTGTTATATTTTCAGAAGGTAAGTATACCATTTTCTTTTATTTTCAGAGGGTAAGTATACTTTATTGTTATATTTGTTTATCTACATGCAGTAAAGGACAAGTATACCATATTGTTATATATTGATTTATTGCTTCAGACGATCAGTAAGTATGACTTTAGAAAATAAATATATGCATAGAAACTACATTTTATGGAATTGATAGAGGAGCATGTTGTCCAGAGCCTTACGAACAAATGTAAATTTTAAAACCACAACATGCTTACTCTATTGATTTTCCATAATGTTTCGTTTAATTTAAAATGAATATTGAAATCTTTACAGGAAATATTTTGTCTGTCTGAAGAAACAACAACTACGTGAATGTCTTTCAGAGTCTCAGATTTTTTTCAAAATCTAAGATATCTAACTTAATTGTTGTTTCAAATAAGACAGTCAATATTATCAGGTATTAAGACCAATATGATATCAATCGTAACTTTCATCTTTTTAAGGTTCAACTTCAGGTAATACCAGAGGTACATCGAGTGCAACAGCATCTATGGGTCCAACAGAAGGACCATCAACTTCATTGGCGACACCGACACCATCACCTGCACCTGAGGAATGCCCATCTATTGATTTGATGGAAGATTCAGGAGTTGGTCTGTCAATATCATATGACGATGAGATAATATCAGCTGACACTTTGATTGGTCTTCAAAGCTCGGATGACAATCGAAAACTAACTGTAACACCGTCATCGACCATAACGATTTCACTTACCCAGGTATCAAGACTTGTGTCAATCAATGTGAATGGAGACAATATTCAGGAGATTACTTTGACTTATACAGATGAAATCACAAACCAGATAAAAACGGTACGTATGGGCAATTATTGCAGAGAGTATTTGAATACAAATCTTAAATGCTGTTTTTTGAATGGCATTTTCTGTCTTATTGATTAACTACACTAATTAATTTATTTGAACTTTAGTAGCCATTTTGATCTGAAAAGGTCTTAAAATATTAAACAATGCATTGATAACTCATGTTGAGTCTTTCTGTAAATCGTCAGACTTCACCACTAGAAACTGAATACTGTTCAGACACATCGCTTGCAGTCAATTAAGATTTGTTCAGTCAATTTTAGTACTGTTTAAAAGTTGTAATGTACCTGTTCAATTATACAAAGCTTTGAATTGTCCCAAATGCTAGTGTAAAGTACTGGATTGAATACAAGTCTAAAGTCTGAACAGTATTGAACTGATGATTAGAAAATATCTCAAAAAACTCTTAAAAGACTTAACGGTTTTATGTGCAGACTTTTCGGGTAATGCTACAATCAAACTGGTTGTTTGAGAATTAAATTCATTTTACTAGTACAAATAGAGAAAACATATCAACAGCAATAGAATATGCCAAACGGCTAAAACACAATCTTAAGAAAATTAGTTGAAGAAGGTTATTATCAATATTAATTATATTAGTAACAAGGTTTTATTATAATATTGGTCACAAGGTTTTATTAACATATGTCTTTTAGACCAAAATAAAACGTTAATGAGAAAAATTGCCTCCAATAATAGATAATGCAACGTTAATAAAATTTCTGCAGTGTTATTATACTCTTTCCAGGTAACTGCTGTTGCAAATCAAGTGACACCATTAAACTATGACATAGCCGGAGAAATAGAAATCTCTTTTACTGCATCGAATGAGGACATTGATGTTTCTGTTGATAAGATAGAATTAATTGCATGTGAACAGTCAACCTCAGCAGGTCCAACCACTGTTTCATCAGCTACATCGGGACCTCCGATGACAAGTGGAATCACAGGTTTACCAAGTATAACGACAGTGCCACTAGTAGGTCAAACAGGAGGACCACCATCTACTACAGCAGTTCCATCGACGACAGGTGCAACAGAAGGAACAACATCTTCAACGGTAGCAGAACCATCAGGTTCAACTTCAGGTGCACCGAGTACAACGACAGCACCATCGACAGGTCCAACAGAAGGACCATCAACTTCAATGGCGACACCGACACCATCACCTGCACCCGAGGAATGCCCATCTATTGATTTGATGGAAGAGTCAGGAGTTGGTCTGTCAATAACATATGACGATGAGATATTATCAGCTGACACTTTGATTGGTCTTCAAAGCTCGGATGATAATCGAAAACTAACTGTAACACCGTCATCGACCGTAACGATTTCACTTACCAAGGTATCAAGACTTGTGTCAATCAATGTGAATGGAGACAATATTCAGGAGATTACTTTGACTTATACAGATGAAATCACAAACCAGATAAAAACGGTACGTATAGGCAATTATTGCAGAAAGTATTTGAATACAAATCTTAAATGCTGTTTTTTGAAAGGCATTTTCTATCTAATTGATTACCTACACTAATTAATCTATTTGAACTTAAGTAGCCATTTTGATCTGAAAAGGTCTTAAAATATTAAACAATGCATTGATAACTCATGTTGAGTCTTTCTGTAAATCGTCAGACTTAATATCCACTAGAAACTGAATACTGTTCAGACACATCGCTTGCAGTCAATTAAGATTTGTTCAGTCAATTTTAGTACTGTTTAAAAGTTGTAATGTACCTGTTAAATTATACAAAGCTTTGAATTGTCCCAAATGCTAGTGTACAGTACTGGATTGAATACAAGTCTAAAGTCTGAACAGTATTGAACTGATGATTAGAAAATATCTGAAAAAAACTCTTAAAAGACTTAACGGTTTTATGTGCAGACTTTTCGGGTAATGCTACAATCAAACTGGTTGTTTGAGAATTAAATTCATTTTACTAGTACAAATAGAGAAAAAATATCAACAGCAATAGAATATGCCAAACGGCTAAAACACAATCTTAAGAAAATTAGTTGAAGAAGGTTATTATTAATATTTATTATATTAATAACAAAGTTTTTTTTATAATAATTTTCACAAGGTTTTATTAACATATGTCTTTTAGACCAAAATAAAACTTTATTGAGAAAAATTGCCTCCAATAATAGATAATGCAACGTTAATAAAATTTCTGCAGTGTTATTATACTCTTTCCAGGTAACTGCTGTTGCAAATCAAGTGACACCATTAAACTATGACATAGCCGGAGAAATAGAAATCTCTTTTACTGCATCGAATGAGGACATTGATGTTTCTGTTGATAAGATAGAATTAATTGCATGTGAACAGTCAACCTCAGCAGGTCCAACCACTGTTTCATCAGCTACATCGGGACCTCCGATGACAAGTGGAATCACAGGTTTACCAAGTATAACGACAGTGCCACTAGTAGGTCAAACAGGAGGACCACCATCTACTACAGCAGTTCCATCGACGACAGGTGCAACAGAAGGAACAACATCTTCAACGGTAGCAGAACCATCAGGTTCAACTTCAGGTGCACCGAGTACAACGACAGCACCATCGACAGGTCCAACAGAAGGACCATCAACTTCAATGGCGACACCGACACCATCACCTGCACCCGAGGAATGCCCATCTATTGATTTGATGGAAGACTCAGGAGTTGGTCTGTCAATAACATATGACGATGAGATAATATCAGCTGACACTTTGATTGGTCTTCAAAGCTCGGATGATAATCGAAAACTAACTGTAACACCGTCATCGACCGTAACGATTTCACTTACCCAGGTATCAAGACTTGTGTCAATCAATGTGAATGGAGACAATATTCAGGAGATTACTTTGACTTATACAGATGAAATCACAAACCAGATAAAAACGGTACGTATAGGCAATTATTGCAGAAAGTATTTGAATACAAATCTTAAATGCTGTTTTTTGAAAGGCATTTTCTATCTAATTGATTACCTACACTAATTGATCTATTTGAACTTAAGTAGCCGTTTTGATCTGAAAAGGTCTTAAAATATTAAACAATGCATTGATAACTCATGTTGAGTCTTTCTGTAAATCGTCAGACTTAATATCCACTAGAAACTGAATACTGTTCAGACACATCGCTTGCAGTCAATTAAGATTTGTTCAGTCAATTTTAGTACTGTTTAAAAGTTGTAATGTGCCTGTTCAATTATACAAGGCTTTGAATTGTCCCAAATGCTAGTGTACAGTACTGGATTGAATACAAGTCTAAAGTCTGAACCGTATTGAACTGATGATTAGAAAATATCTGAAAAAACTCTTAAAAGACTTAACGGTTTTATGTGCAGACTTTTCGGGTAATGCTACAATCAAACTGGTTGTTTGAGAATTAAATTCATTTTACTAGTACAAATAGAGAAAAAATATCAACAGCAATAGAATATGCCAAACGACTAAAACACAATCTTAAGAAAATTAGTTGAAGAAGGTTATTATTAATATTTATTATATTAGTAACAAGTTTTTTTTTATAATATTGGTCACAAGGTTTTATTAACATATGTCTTTTAGACCAAAATAAAACTTTATTGAGAAAAATTGCCTCCAATAATAGATAATGCAACGTTAATAAAATTTCTGCAGTGTTATTATACTCTTTCCAGGTAACTGCTGTTGCAAATCAAGTGACACCATTAAACTATGACATAGCCGGAGAAATAGAAATCTCTTTTACTGCATCGAATGAGGACATTGATGTTTCTGTTGATAAGATAGAATTAATTGCATGTGAACAGTCAACCTCAGCAGGTCCAACCACTGTTTCATCAGCTACATCGGGACCTCCGATGACAAGTGGAATCACAGGTTTACCAAGTATAACGACAGTGCCACTAGTAGGTCAAACAGGAGGACCACCATCTACTACAGCAGTTCCATCGACGACAGGTGCAACAGAAGGAACAACATCTTCAACGGTAGCAGAACCATCAGGTTCAACTTCAGGTGCACCGAGTACAACGACAGCACCATCGACAGGTTCAACAGAAGGACTATCAACTTCAATGGCGACACCGACACCATCACCTGCACCCGAGGAATGCCCATCTATTGATTTGATGGAAGACTCAGGAGTTGGTCTGTCAATAACATATGACGATGAGATAATATCAGCTGACACTTTGATTGGTCTTCAAAGCTCGGATGATAATCGAAAACTAACTGTAACACCGTCATCGACCGTAACGATTTCACTTACCCAGGTATCAAGACTTGTGTCAATCAATGTGAATGGAGACAATATTCAGGAGATTACTTTGACTTATACAGATGAAATCACAAACCAGATAAAAACGGTACGTATAGGCAATTATTGCAGAAAGTATTTGAATACAAATCTTAAATGCTGTTTTTTGAAAGGCATTTTCTATCTAATTGATTACCTACACTAATTAATTTATTTGAACTTAAGTAGCCATTTTGATCTGAAAAGGTCTTAAAATATTAAACAATGCATTGATAACTCATGTTGAGTCTTTCTGTAAATCGTCAGACTTAATATCCACTAGAAACTGAATACTGTTCAGACACATCGCTTGCAGTCAATTTTAGTACTGTTTAAAAGTTGTAATGTGCCTGTTCAATTATACAAAGCTTTGAATTGTGCCAAATGCTAGTGTACAGTACTGGATTGAATACAAGTCTAAAGTCTGAACCGTATTGAACTGATGATTAGAAAATATCTGAAAAAACTCTTAAAAGACTTAACGGTTTTATGTGCAGACTTTTCGGGTAATGCTACAATCAAACTGGTTGTTTGAGAATTAAATTCATTTTACTAGTACAAATAGAGAAAAAATATCAACAGCAATAGAATATGCCAAACGGCTAAAACACAATCTTAAGAAAATTAGTTGAAGAAGGTAATTATTAATATTTATTATATTAGTAACAAGGTTTTTTTTATAATATTGGTCACAAGGTTTTATTAACATATGTCTTTTAGACCAAAATAAAACTTTATTGAGAAAAATTGCCTCCAATAATAGATAATGCAACGTTAATAAAATTTCTGCAGTGTTATTATACTCTTTCCAGGTAACTGCTGTTGCAAATCAAGTGACACCATTAAACTATGACATAGCCGGAGAAATAGAAATCTCTTTTACTGCATCGAATGAGGACATTGATGTTTCTGTTGATAAGATAGAATTAATTGCATGTGAACAGTCAACCTCAGCAGGTCCAACCACTGTTTCATCAGCTACATCGGGACCTCCGATGACAAGTGGAATCACAGGTTTACCAAGTATAACGACAGTGCCACTAGTAGGTCAAACAGGAGGACCACCATCTACTACAGCAGTTCCATCAACGACAGGTGCAACAGAAGGAACAACATCTTCAACGGTAGCAGAACCATCAGGTTCAACTTCAGGTGCACCGAGTACAACGACAGCACCATCGACAGGTCCAACAGAAGGACCATCAACTTCAATGGCGACACCGACACCATCACCTGCACCCGAGGAATGCCCATCTATTGATTTGATGGAAGACTCAGGAGTTGGTCTGTCAATAACATATGACGATGAGATAATATCAGCTGACACTTTGATTGGTCTTCAAAGCTCGGATGATAATCGAAAACTAACTGTAACACCGTCATCGACCGTAACGATTTCACTTACCAAGGTATCAAGACTTGTGTCAATCAATGTGAATGGAGACAATATTCAGGAGATTACTTTGACTTATACAGATGAAATCACAAACCAGATAAAAACGGTACGTATAGGCAATTATTGCAGAAAGTATTTGAATACAAATCTTAAATGCTGTTTTTTGAAAGGCATTTTCTATCTAATTGATTACCTACACTAATTAATCTATTTGAACTTAAGTAGCCATTTTGATCTGAAAAGGTCTTAAAATATTAAACAATGCATTGATAACTCATGTTGAGTCTTTCTGTAAATCGTCAGACTTAATATCCACTAGAAACTGAATACTGTTCAGACACATCGCTTGCAGTCAATTAAGATTTGTTCAGTCAATTTTAGTACTGTTTAAAAGTTGTAATGTACCTGTTAAATTATACAAAGCTTTGAATTGTCCCAAATGCTAGTGTACAGTACTGGATTGAATACAAGTCTAAAGTCTGAACAGTATTGAACTGATGATTAGAAAATATCTGAAAAAAACTCTTAAAAGACTTAACGGTTTTATGTGCAGACTTTTCGGGTAATGCTACAATCAAACTGGTTGTTTGAGAATTAAATTCATTTTACTAGTACAAATAGAGAAAAAATATCAACAGCAATAGAATATGCCAAACGGCTAAAACACAATCTTAAGAAAATTAGTTGAAGAAGGTTATTATTAATATTTATTATATTAATAACAAAGTTTTTTTTATAATAATTTTCACAAGGTTTTATTAACATATGTCTTTTAGACCAAAATAAAACTTTATTGAGAAAAATTGCCTCCAATAATAGATAATGCAACGTTAATAAAATTTCTGCAGTGTTATTATACTCTTTCCAGGTAACTGCTGTTGCAAATCAAGTGACACCATTAAACTATGACATAGCCGGAGAAATAGAAATCTCTTTTACTGCATCGAATGAGGACATTGATGTTTCTGTTGATAAGATAGAATTAATTGCATGTGAACAGTCAACCTCAGCAGGTCCAACCACTGTTTCATCAGCTACATCGGGACCTCCGATGACAAGTGGAATCACAGGTTTACCAAGTATAACGACAGTGCCACTAGTAGGTCAAACAGGAGGACCACCATCTACTACAGCAGTTCCATCGACGACAGGTGCAACAGAAGGAACAACATCTTCAACGGTAGCAGAACCATCAGGTTCAACTTCAGGTGCACCGAGTACAACGACAGCACCATCGACAGGTTCAACAGAAGGACTATCAACTTCAATGGCGACACCGACACCATCACCTGCACCCGAGGAATGCCCATCTATTGATTTGATGGAAGACTCAGGAGTTGGTCTGTCAATAACATATGACGATGAGATAATATCAGCTGACACTTTGATTGGTCTTCAAAGCTCGGATGATAATCGAAAACTAACTGTAACACCGTCATCGACCGTAACGATTTCACTTACCCAGGTATCAAGACTTGTGTCAATCAATGTGAATGGAGACAATATTCAGGAGATTACTTTGACTTATACAGATGAAATCACAAACCAGATAAAAACGGTACGTATAGGCAATTATTGCAGAAAGTATTTGAATACAAATCTTAAATGCTGTTTTTTGAAAGGCATTTTCTATCTAATTGATTACCTACACTAATTAATCTATTTGAACTTAAGTAGCCATTTTGATCTGAAAAGGTCTTAAAATATTAAACAATGCATTGATAACTCATGTTGAGTCTTTCTGTAAATCGTCAGACTTAATATCCACTAGAAACTGAATACTGTTCAGACACATCGCTTGCAGTCAATTTTAGTACTGTTTAAAAGTTGTAATGTGCCTGTTCAATTATACAAAGCTTTGAATTGTGCCAAATGCTAGTGTACAGTACTGGATTGAATACAAGTCTAAAGTCTGAACCGTATTGAACTGATGATTAGAAAATATCTGAAAAAACTCTTAAAAGACTTAACGGTTTTATGTGCAGACTTTTCGGGTAATGCTACAATCAAACTGGTTGTTTGAGAATTAAATTCATTTTACTAGTACAAATAGAGAAAAAATATCAACAGCAATAGAATATGCCAAACGGCTAAAACACAATCTTAAGAAAATTAGTTGAAGAAGGTAATTATTAATATTTATTATATTAGTAACAAGGTTTTTTTTATAATATTGGTCACAAGGTTTTATTAACATATGTCTTTTAGACCAAAATAAAACTTTATTGAGAAAAATTGCCTCCAATAATAGATAATGCAACGTTAATAAAATTTCTGCAGTGTTATTATACTCTTTCCAGGTAACTGCTGTTGCAAATCAAGTGACACCATTAAACTATGACATAGCCGGAGAAATAGAAATCTCTTTTACTGCATCGAATGAGGACATTGATGTTTCTGTTGATAAGATAGAATTAATTGCATGTGAACAGTCAACCTCAGCAGGTCCAACCACTGTTTCATCAGCTACATCGGGACCTCCGATGACAAGTGGAATCACAGGTTTACCAAGTATAACGACAGTGCCACTAGTAGGTCAAACAGGAGGACCACCATCTACTACAGCAGTTCCATCGACGACAGGTGCAACAGAAGGAACAACATCTTCAACGGTAGCAGAACCATCAGGTTCAACTTCAGGTGCACCGAGTACAACGACAGCACCATCGACAGGTCCAACAGAAGGACCATCAACTTCAATGGCGACACCGACACCATCACCTGCACCCGAGGAATGCCCATCTATTGATTTGATGGAAGACTCAGGAGTTGGTCTGTCAATAACATATGACGATGAGATAATATCAGCTGACACTTTGATTGGTCTTCAAAGCTCGGATGATAATCGAAAACTAACTGTAACACCGTCATCGACCGTAACGATTTCACCTACCCAGGTATCAAGACTTGTGTCAATCAATGTGAATGGAGACAATATTCAGGAGATTACTTTGACTTATACAGATGAAATCACAAACCAGATAAAAACGGTACGTATAGGCAATTATTGCAGAAAGTATTTGAATACAAATCTTAAATGCTGTTTTTTGAAAGGCATTTTCTATCTAATTGATTACCTACACTAATTAATCTATTTGAACTTAAGTAGCCATTTTGATCTGAAAAGGTCTTAAAATATTAAACAATGCATTGATAACTCATGTTGAGTCTTTCTGTAAATCGTCAGACTTAATATCCACTAGAAACTGAATACTGTTCAGACACATCGCTTGCAGTCAATTTTAGTACTGTTTAAAAGTTGTAATGTGCCTGTTCAATTATACAAAGCTTTGAATTGTCCCAAATGCTAGTGTACAGTACTGGATTGAATACAAGTCTAAAGTCTGAACCGTATTGAACTGATGATTAGAAAATATCTGAAAAAACTCTTAAAAGACTTAACGGTTTTATGTGCAGACTTTTCGGGTAATGCTACAATCAAACTGGTTGTTTGAGAATTAAATTCATTTTACTAGTACAAATAGAGAAAAAATATCAACAGCAATAGAATATGCCAAACGACTAAAACACAATCTTAAGAAAATTAGTTGAAGAAGGTTATTATTAATATTTATTATATTAGTAACAAGTTTTTTTTATAATATTGGTCACAAGGTTTTATTAACATATGTCTTTTAGACCAAAATAAAACTTTATTGAGAAAAATTGCCTCCAATAATAGATAATGCAACGTTAATAAAATTTCTGCAGTGTTATTATACTCTTTCCAGGTAACTGCTGTTGCAAATCAAGTGACACCATTAAACTATGACATAGCCGGAGAAATAGAAATCTCTTTTACTGCATCGAATGAGGACATTGATGTTTCTGTTGATAAGATAGAATTAATTGCATGTGAACAGTCAACCTCAGCAGGTCCAACCACTGTTTCATCAGCTACATCGGGACCTCCGATGACAAGTGGAATCACAGGTTTACCAAGTATAACGACAGTGCCACTAGTAGGTCAAACAGGAGGACCACCATCTACTACAGCAGTTCCATCGACGACAGGTGCAACAGAAGGAACAACATCTTCAACGGTAGCAGAACCATCAGGTTCAACTTCAGGTGCACCGAGTACAACGACAGCACCATCGACAGGTCCAACAGAAGGACCATCAACTTCAATGGCGACACCGACACCATCACCTGCACCCGAGGAATGCCCATCTATTGATTTGATGGAAGACTCAGGAGTTGGTCTGTCAATAACATATGACGATGAGATAATATCAGCTGACACTTTGATTGGTCTTCAAAGCTCGGATGATAATCGAAAACTAACTGTAACACCGTCATCGACCGTAACGATTTCACTTACCCAGGTATCAAGACTTGTGTCAATCAATGTGAATGGAGACAATATTCAGGAGATTACTTTGACTTATACAGATGAAATCACAAACCAGATAAAAACGGTACGTATAGGCAATTATTGCAGAAAGTATTTGAATACAAATCTTAAATGCTGTTTTTTGAAAGGCATTTTCTATCTAATTGATTACCTACACTAATTAATCTATTTGAACTTAAGTAGCCATTTTGATCTGAAAAGGTCTTAAAATATTAAACAATGCATTGATAACTCATGTTGAGTCTTTCTGTAAATCGTCAGACTTAATATCCACTAGAAACTGAATACTGTTCAGACACATCGCTTGCAGTCAATTTTAGTACTGTTTAAAAGTTGTAATGTGCCTGTTCAATTATACAAGGCTTTGAATTGTGCCAAATGCTAGTGTACAGTACTGGATTGAATACAAGTCTAAAGTCTGAACCGTATTGAACTGATGATTAGAAAATATCTGAAAAAACTCTTAAAAGACTTAACGGTTTTATGTGCAGACTTTTCGGGTAATGCTACAATCAAACTGGTTGTTTGAGAATTAAATTCATTTTACTAGTACAAATAGAGAAAAAATATCAACAGCAATAGAATATGCCAAACGACTAAAACACAATCTTAAGAAAATTAGTTGAAGAAGGTTATTATTAATATTTATTATATTAGTAACAAGTTTTTTTTTATAATATTGGTCACAAGGTTTTATTAACATATGTCTTTTAGACCAAAATAAAACTTTATTGAGAAAAATTGCCTCCAATAATAGATAATGCAACGTTAATAAAATTTCTGCAGTGTTATTATACTCTTTCCAGGTAACTGCTGTTGCAAATCAAGTGACACCATTAAACTATGACATAGCCGGAGAAATAGAAATCTCTTTTACTGCATCGAATGAGGACATTGATGTTTCTGTTGATAAGATAGAATTAATTGCATGTGAACAGTCAACCTCAGCAGGTCCAACCACTGTTTCATCAGCTACATCGGGACCTCCGATGACAAGTGGAATCACAGGTTTACCAAGTATAACGACAGTGCCACTAGTAGGTCAAACAGGAGGACCACCATCTACTACAGCAGTTCCATCGACGACAGGTGCAACAGAAGGAACAACATCTTCAACGGTAGCAGAACCATCAGGTTCAACTTCAGGTGCACCGAGTACAACGACAGCACCATCGACAGGTCCAACAGAAGGACCATCAACTTCAATGGCGACACCGACACCATCACCTGCACCCGAGGAATGCCCATCTATTGATTTGATGGAAGACTCAGGAGTTGGTCTGTCAATAACATATGACGATGAGATAATATCAGCTGACACTTTGATTGGTCTTCAAAGCTCGGATGATAATCGAAAACTAACTGTAACACCGTCATCGACCGTAACGATTTCACTTACCCAGGTATCAAGACTTGTGTCAATCAATGTGAATGGAGACAATATTCAGGAGATTACTTTGACTTATACAGATGAAATCACAAACCAGATAAAAACGGTACGTATAGGCAATTATTGCAGAAAGTATTTGAATACAAATCTTAAATGCTGTTTTTTGAAAGGCATTTTCTATCTAATTGATTACCTACACTAATTAATCTATTTGAACTTAAGTAGCCATTTTGATCTGAAAAGGTCTTAAAATATTAAACAATGCATTGATAACTCATGTTGAGTCTTTCTGTAAATCGTCAGACTTAATATCCACTAGAAACTGAATACTGTTCAGACACATCGCTTGCAGTCAATTTTAGTACTGTTTAAAAGTTGTAATGTGCCTGTTCAATTATACAAGGCTTTGAATTGTGCCAAATGCTAGTGTACAGTACTGGATTGAATACAAGTCTAAAGTCTGAACCGTATTGAACTGATGATTAGAAAATATCTGAAAAAACTCTTAAAAGACTTAACGGTTTTATGTGCAGACTTTTCGGGTAATGCTACAATCAAACTGGTTGTTTGAGAATTAAATTCATTTTACTAGTACAAATAGAGAAAAAATATCAACAGCAATAGAATATGCCAAACGACTAAAACACAATCTTAAGAAAATTAGTTGAAGAAGGTTATTATTAATATTTATTATATTAGTAACAAGTTTTTTTTTATAATATTGGTCACAAGGTTTTATTAACATATGTCTTTTAGACCAAAATAAAACTTTATTGAGAAAAATTGCCTCCAATAATAGATAATGCAACGTTAATAAAATTTCTGCAGTGTTATTATACTCTTTCCAGGTAACTGCTGTTGCAAATCAAGTGACACCATTAAACTATGACATAGCCGGAGAAATAGAAATCTCTTTTACTGCATCGAATGAGGACATTGATGTTTCTGTTGATAAGATAGAATTAATTGCATGTGAACAGTCAACCTCAGCAGGTCCAACCACTGTTTCATCAGCTACATCGGGACCTCCGATGACAAGTGGAATCACAGGTTTACCAAGTATAACGACAGTGCCACTAGTAGGTCAAACAGGAGGACCACCATCTACTACAGCAGTTCCATCGACGACAGGTGCAACAGAAGGAACAACATCTTCAACGGTAGCAGAACCATCAGGTTCAACTTCAGGTGCACCGAGTACAACGACAGCACCATCGACAGGTTCAACAGAAGGACTATCAACTTCAATGGCGACACCGACACCATCACCTGCACCCGAGGAATGCCCATCTATTGATTTGATGGAAGACTCAGGAGTTGGTCTGTCAATAACATATGACGATGAGATAATATCAGCTGACACTTTGATTGGTCTTCAAAGCTCGGATGATAATCGAAAACTAACTGTAACACCGTCATCGACCGTAACGATTTCACTTACCCAGGTATCAAGACTTGTGTCAATCAATGTGAATGGAGACAATATTCAGGAGATTACTTTGACTTATACAGATGAAATCACAAACCAGATAAAAACGGTACGTATAGGCAATTATTGCAGAAAGTATTTGAATACAAATCTTAAATGCTGTTTTTTGAAAGGCATTTTCTATCTAATTGATTACCTACACTAATTAATCTATTTGAACTTAAGTAGCCATTTTGATCTGAAAAGGTCTTAAAATAGTAAACAATGCATTGATAACTCATGTTGAGTCTTTCTGTAAATCGTCAGACTTAATATCCACTAGAAACTGAATACTGTTCAGACACATCGCTTGCAGTCAATTTTAGTACTGTTTAAAAGTTGTAATGTGCCTGTTCAATTATACAAAGCTTTGAATTGTGCCAAATGCTAGTGTACAGTACTGGATTGAATACAAGTCTAAAGTCTGAACCGTATTGAACTGATGATTAGAAAATATCTGAAAAAACTCTTAAAAGACTTAACGGTTTTATGTGCAGACTTTTCGGGTAATGCTACAATCAAACTGGTTGTTTGAGAATTAAATTCATTTTACTAGTACAAATAGAGAAAAAATATCAACAGCAATAGAATATGCCAAACGGCTAAAACACAATCTTAAGAAAATTAGTTGAAGAAGGTAATTATTAATATTTTATATATTAGTAACAAGGTTTTTTTTATAATATTGGTCACAAGGTTTTATTAACATATGTCTTTTAGACCAAAATAAAACTTTATTGAGAAAAATTGCCTCCAATAATAGATAATGCAACGTTAATAAAATTTCTGCAGTGTTATTATACTCTTTCCAGGTAACTGCTGTTGCAAATCAAGTGACACCATTAAACTATGACATAGCCGGAGAAATAGAAATCTCTTTTACTGCATCGAATGAGGACATTGATGTTTCTGTTGATAAGATAGAATTAATTGCATGTGAACAGTCAACCTCAGCAGGTCCAACCACTGTTTCATCAGCTACATCGGGACCTCCGATGACAAGTGGAATCACAGGTTTACCAAGTATAACGACAGTGCCACTAGTAGGTCAAACAGGAGGACCACCATCTACTACAGCAGTTCCATCGACGACAGGTGCAACAGAAGGAACAACATCTTCAACGGTAGCAGAACCATCAGGTTCAACTTCAGGTGCACCGAGTACAACGACAGCACCATCGACAGGTTCAACAGAAGGACTATCAACTTCAATGGCGACACCGACACCATCACCTGCACCCGAGGAATGCCCATCTATTGATTTGATGGAAGACTCAGGAGTTGGTCTGTCAATAACATATGACGATGAGATAATATCAGCTGACACTTTGATTGGTCTTCAAAGCTCGGATGATAATCGAAAACTAACTGTAACACCGTCATCGACCGTAACGATTTCACTTACCCAGGTATCAAGACTTGTGTCAATCAATGTGAATGGAGACAATATTCAGGAGATTACTTTGACTTATACAGATGAAATCACAAACCAGATAAAAACGGTACGTATAGGCAATTATTGCAGAAAGTATTTGAATACAAATCTTAAATGCTGTTTTTTGAAAGGCATTTTCTATCTAATTGATTACCTACACTAATTAATCTATTTGAACTTAAGTAGCCATTTTGATCTGAAAAGGTCTTAAAATATTAAACAATGCATTGATAATTCATGTTGAGTCTTTCTGTAAATCGTCAGACTTAATATCCACTAGAAACTGAATACTGTTCAGACACATCGCTTGCAGTCAATTTTAGTACTGTTTAAAAGTTGTAATGTGCCTGTTCAATTATACAAAGCTTTGAATTGTGCCAAATGCTAGTGTACAGTACTGGATTGAATACAAGTCTAAAGTCTGAACCGTATTGAACTGATGATTAGAAAATATCTGAAAAAACTCTTAAAAGACTTAACGGTTTTATGTGCAGACTTTTCGGGTAATGCTACAATCAAACTGGTTGTTTGAGAATTAAATTCATTTTACTATTACAAATAGAGAAAAAATATCAACAGCAATAGAATATGCCAAACGACTAAAACACAATCTTAAGAAAATTAGTTGAAGAAGGTTATTATTAATATTTATTATATTAGTAACAAGTTTTTTTTTAATATTGGTCACAAGGTTTTATTAACATATGTCTTTTAGACCAAAATAAAACTTTATTGAGAAAAATTGCCTCCAATAATAGATAATGCAACGTTAATAAAATTTCTGCAGTGTTATTATACTCTTTCCAGGTAACTGCTGTTGCAAATCAAGTGACACCATTAAACTATGACATAGCCGGAGAAATAGAAATCTCTTTTACTGCATCGAATGAGGACATTGATGTTTCTGTTGATAAGATAGAATTAATTGCATGTGAACAGTCAACCTCAGCAGGTCCAACCACTGTTTCATCAGCTACATCGGGACCTCCGATGACAAGTGGAATCACAGGTTTACCAAGTATAACGACAGTGCCACTAGTAGGTCAAACAGGAGGACCACCATCTACTACAGCAGTTCCATCGACGACAGGTGCAACAGAAGGAACAACATCTTCAACGGTAGCAGAACCATCAGGTTCAACTTCAGGTGCACCGAGTACAACGACAGCACCATCGACAGGTCCAACAGAAGGACTATCAACTTCAATGGCGACACCGACACCATCACCTGCACCCGAGGAATGCCCATCTATTGATTTGATGGAAGACTCAGGAGTTGGTCTGTCAATAACATATGACGATGAGATAATATCAGCTGACACTTTGATTGGTCTTCAAAGCTCGGATGATAATCGAAAACTAACTGTAACACCGTCATCGACCGTAACGATTTCACTTACCCAGGTATCAAAACTTGTGTCAATCAATGTGAATGGAGACAATATTCAGGAGATTACTTTGACTTATACAGATGAAATCACAAACCAGATAAAAACGGTACGTATAGGCAATCATTGCAGAAAGTATTTGAATACAAATCTTAAATGCTGTTTTTTGAAAGGCATTTTCTATCTAATTGATTACCTACACTAATTAATCTATTTGAACTTAAGTAGCCATTTTGATCTGAAAAGGTCTTAAAATATTAAACAATGCATTGATAACTCATGTTGAGTCTTTCTGTAAATCGTCAGACTTAATATCCACTAGAAACTGAATACTGTTCAGACACATCGCTTGCAGTCAATTAAGATTTGTTCAGTCAATTTTAGTACTGTTTAAAAGTTGTAATGTACCTGTTAAATTATACAAAGCTTTGAATTGTCCCAAATGCTATTGTACAGTACTGGATTGAATACAAGTCTAAAGTCTGAACAGTATTGAACTGATGATTAGAAAATATCTGAAAAAACTCTTAAAAGACTTAACGGTTTTATGTGCAGACTTTTCGGGTAATGCTACAATCAAACTGGTTGTTTGAGAATTAAATTCATTTTACTAGTACAAATAGAGAAAAAATATCAACAGCAATAGAATATGCCAAACGGCTAAAACACAATCTTAAGAAAATTAGTTGAAGAAGGTTATTATTAATATTAATTATATTAGTAACAAGGTTTTTTTTATAATATTGGTCACAAGGTTTTATTAACATATGTCTTTTAGACCAAAATAAAACTTTATTGAGAAAAATTGCCTCCAATAATAGATAATGCAACGTTAATAAAATTTCTGCAGTGTTATTATACTCTTTCCAGGTAACTGCTGTTGCAAATCAAGTGACACCATTAAACTATGACATAGCCGGAGAAATAGAAATCTCTTTTACTGCATCGAATGAGGACATTGATGTTTCTGTTGATAAGATAGAATTAATTGCATGTGAACAGTCAACCTCAGCAGGTCCAACCACTGTTTCATCAGCTACATCGGGACCTCCGATGACAAGTGGAATCACAGGTTTACCAAGTATAACGACAGTGCCACTAGTAGGTCAAACAGGAGGACCACCATCTACTACAGCAGTTCCATCGACGACAGGTGCAACAGAAGGAACAACATCTTCAACGGTAGCAGAACCATCAGGTTCAACTTCAGGTGCACCGAGTACAACGACAGCACCATCGACAGGTCCAACAGAAGGACCATCAACTTCAATGGCGACACCGACACCATCACCTGCACCCGAGGAATGCCCATCTATTGATTTGATGGAAGACTCAGGAGTTGGTCTGTCAATAACATATGACGATGAGATAATATCAGCTGACACTTTGATTGGTCTTCAAAGCTCGGATGATAATCGAAAACTAACTGTAACACCGTCATCGACCGTAACGATTTCACTTACCCAGGTATCAAAACTTGTGTCAATCAATGTGAATGGAGACAATATTCAGGAGATTACTTTGACTTATACAGATGAAATCACAAACCAGATAAAAACGGTACGTATAGGCAATCATTGCAGAAAGTATTTGAATACAAATCTTAAATGCTGTTTTTTGAAAGGCATTTTCTATCTAATTGATTACCTACACTAATTAATCTATTTGAACTTAAGTAGCCATTTTGATCTGAAAAGGTCTTAAAATATTAAACAATGCATTGATAACTCATGTTGAGTCTTTCTGTAAATCGTCAGACTTAATATCCACTAGAAACTGAATACTGTTCAGACACATCGCTTGCAGTCAATTAAGATTTGTTCAGTCAATTTTAGTACTGTTTAAAAGTTGTAATGTACCTGTTAAATTATACAAAGCTTTGAATTGTCCCAAATGCTATTGTACAGTACTGGATTGAATACAAGTCTAAAGTCTGAACAGTATTGAACTGATGATTAGAAAATATCTGAAAAAACTCTTAAAAGACTTAACGGTTTTATGTGCAGACTTTTCGGGTAATGCTACAATCAAACTGGTTGTTTGAGAATTAAATTCATTTTACTAGTACAAATAGAGAAAAAATATCAACAGCAATAGAATATGCCAAACGGCTAAAACACAATCTTAAGAAAATTAGTTGAAGAAGGTTATTATTAATATTAATTATATTAGTAACAAGGTTTTTTTTATAATATTGGTCACAAGGTTTTATTAACATATGTCTTTTAGACCAAAATAAAACTTTATTGAGAAAAATTGCCTCCAATAATAGATAATGCAACGTTAATAAAATTTCTGCAGTGTTATTATACTCTTTCCAGGTAACTGCTGTTGCAAATCAAGTGACACCATTAAACTATGACATAGCCGGAGAAATAGAAATCTCTTTTACTGCATCGAATGAGGACATTGATGTTTCTGTTGATAAGATAGAATTAATTGCATGTGAACAGTCAACCTCAGCAGGTCCAACCACTGTTTCATCAGCTACATCGGGACCTCCGATGACAAGTGGAATCACAGGTTTACCAAGTATAACGACAGTGCCACTAGTAGGTCAAACAGGAGGACCACCATCTACTACAGCAGTTCCATCGACGACAGGTGCAACAGAAGGAACAACATCTTCAACGGTAGCAGAACCATCAGGTTCAACTTCAGGTGCACCGAGTACAACGACAGCACCATCGACAGGTCCAACAGAAGGACCATCAACTTCAATGGCGACACCGACACCATCACCTGCACCCGAGGAATGCCCATCTATTGATTTGATGGAAGACTCAGGAGTTGGTCTGTCAATAACATATGACGATGAGATAATATCAGCTGACACTTTGATTGGTCTTCAAAGCTCGGATGATAATCGAAAACTAACTGTAACACCGTCATCGACCGTAACGATTTCACTTACCCAGGTATCAAGACTTGTGTCAATCAATGTGAATGGAGACAATATTCAGGAGATTACTTTGACTTATACAGATGAAATCACAAACCAGATAAAAACGGTACGTATAGGCAATCATTGCAGAAAGTATTTGAATACAAATCTTAAATGCTGTTTTTTGAAAGGCATTTTCTATCTAATTGATTACCTACACTAATTAATCTATTTGAACTTAAGTAGCCATTTTGATCTGAAAAGGTCTTAAAATATTAAACAATGCATTGATAACTCATGTTGAGTCTTTCTGTAAATCGTCAGACTTAATATCCACTAGAAACTGAATACTGTTCAGACACATCGCTTGCAGTCAATTAAGATTTGTTCAGTCAATTTTAGTACTGTTTAAAAGTTGTAATGTACCTGTTAAATTATACAAAGCTTTGAATTGTCCCAAATGCTATTGTACAGTACTGGATTGAATACAAGTCTAAAGTCTGAACAGTATTGAACTGATGATTAGAAAATATCTGAAAAAACTCTTAAAAGACTTAACGGTTTTATGTGCAGACTTTTCGGGTAATGCTACAATCAAACTGGTTGTTTGAGAATTAAATTCATTTTACTAGTACAAATAGAGAAAAAATATCAACAGCAATAGAATATGCCAAACGGCTAAAACACAATCTTAAGAAAATTAGTTGAAGAAGGTTATTATTAATATTAATTATATTAGTAACAAGGTTTTTTTTATAATATTGGTCACAAGGTTTTATTAACATATGTCTTTTAGACCAAAATAAAACTTTATTGAGAAAAATTGCCTCCAATAATAGATAATGCAACGTTAATAAAATTTCTGCAGTGTTATTATACTCTTTCCAGGTAACTGCTGTTGCAAATCAAGTGACACCATTAAACTATGACATAGCCGGAGAAATAGAAATCTCTTTTACTGCATCGAATGAGGACATTGATGTTTCTGTTGATAAGATAGAATTAATTGCATGTGAACAGTCAACCTCAGCAGGTCCAACCACTGTTTCATCAGCTACATCGGGACCTCCGATGACAAGTGGAATCACAGGTTTACCAAGTATAACGACAGTGCCACTAGTAGGTCAAACAGGAGGACCACCATCTACTACAGCAGTTCCATCGACGACAGGTGCAACAGAAGGAACAACATCTTCAACGGTAGCAGAACCATCAGGTTCAACTTCAGGTGCACCGAGTACAACGACAGCACCATCGACAGGTCCAACAGAAGGACCATCAACTTCAATGGCGACACCGACACCATCACCTGCACCCGAGGAATGCCCATCTATTGATTTGATGGAAGACTCAGGAGTTGGTCTGTCAATAACATATGACGATGAGATAATATCAGCTGACACTTTGATTGGTCTTCAAAGCTCGGATGATAATCGAAAACTAACTGTAACACCGTCATCGACCGTAACGATTTCACTTACCCAGGTATATAGACTTGTGTCAATCAATGTGAATGGAGACAATATTCAGGAGATTACTTTGACTTATACAGATGAAATCACAAACCAGATAAAAACGGTACGTATAGGCAATCATTGCAGAAAGTATTTGAATACAAATCTTAAATGCTGTTTTTTGAAAGGCATTTTCTATCTAATTGATTACCTACACTAATTAATCTATTTGAACTTAAGTAGCCATTTTGATCTGAAAAGGTCTTAAAATATTAAACAATGCATTGATAACTCATGTTGAGTCTTTCTGTAAATCGTCAGACTTAGTATCCACTAGAAACTGAATACTGTTCAGACACATCGCTTGCAGTCAATTAAGATTTGTTCAGTCAATTTTAGTACTGTTTAAAAGTTGTAATGTACCTGTTAAATTATACAAAGCTTTGAATTGTCCCAAATGCTATTGTACAGTACTGGATTGAATACAAGTCTAAAGTCTGAACAGTATTGAACTGATGATTAGAAAATATCTGAAAAAACTCTTAAAAGACTTAACGGTTTTATGTGCAGACTTTTCGGGTAATGCTACAATCAAACTGGTTGTTTGAGAATTAAATTCATTTTACTAGTACAAATAGAGAAAAAATATCAACAGCAATAGAATATGCCAAACGGCTAAAACACAATCTTAAGAAAATTAGTTGAAGAAGGTTATTATTAATATTAATTATATTAGTAACAAGGTTTTTTTTATAATATTGGTCACAAGGTTTTATTAACATATGTCTTTTAGACCAAAATAAAACTTTATTGAGAAAAATTGCCTCCAATAATAGATAATGCAACGTTAATAAAATTTCTGCAGTGTTATTATACTCTTTCCAGGTAACTGCTGTTGCAAATCAAGTGACACCATTAAACTATGACATAGCCGGAGAAATAGAAATCTCTTTTACTGCATCGAATGAGGACATTGATGTTTCTGTTGATAAGATAGAATTAATTGCATGTGAACAGTCAACCTCAGCAGGTCCAACCACTGTTTCATCAGCTACATCGGGACCTCCGATGACAAGTGGAATCACAGGTTTACCAAGTATAACGACAGTGCCACTAGTAGGTCAAACAGGAGGACCACCATCTACTACAGCAGTTCCATCGACGACAGGTGCAACAGAAGGAACAACATCTTCAACGGTAGCAGAACCATCAGGTTCAACTTCAGGTGCACCGAGTACAACGACAGCACCATCGACAGGTCCAACAGAAGGACCATCAACTTCAATGGCGACACCGACACCATCACCTGCACCCGAGGAATGCCCATCTATTGATTTGATGGAAGACTCAGGAGTTGGTCTGTCAATAACATATGACGATGAGATAATATCAGCTGACACTTTGATTGGTCTTCAAAGCTCGGATGATAATCGAAAACTAACTGTAACACCGTCATCGACCGTAACGATTTCACTTACCCAGGTATCAAAACTTGTGTCAATCAATGTGAATGGAGACAATATTCAGGAGATTACTTTGACTTATACAGATGAAATCACAAACCAGATAAAAACGGTACGTATAGGCAATCATTGCAGAAAGTATTTGAATACAAATCTTAAATGCTGTTTTTTGAAAGGCATTTTCGTTCTAATTGATTACCTACACTAATTAATCTATTTGAACTTAAGTAGCCATTTTGATCTGAAAAGGTCTTAAAATATTAAACAATGCATTGATAACTCATGTTGAGTCTTTCTGTAAATCGTCAGACTTAATATCCACTAGAAACTGAATACTGTTCAGACACATCGCTTGCAGTCAATTAAGATTTGTTCAGTCAATTTTAGTACTGTTTAAAAGTTGTAATGTACCTGTTAAATTATACAAAGCTTTGAATTGTCCCAAATGCTATTGTACAGTACTGGATTGAATACAAGTCTAAAGTCTGAACAGTATTGAACTGATGATTAGAAAATATCTGAAAAAACTCTTAAAAGACTTAACGGTTTTATGTGCAGACTTTTCGGGTAATGCTACAATCAAACTGGTTGTTTGAGAATTAAATTCATTTTACTAGTACAAATAGAGAAAAAATATCAACAGCAATAGAATATGCCAAACGGCTAAAACACAATCTTAAGAAAATTAGTTGAAGAAGGTTATTATTAATATTAATTATATTAGTAACAAGGTTTTTTTTATAATATTGGTCACAAGGTTTTATTAACATATGTCTTTTAGACCAAAATAAAACTTTATTGAGAAAAATTGCCTCCAATAATAGATAATGCAACGTTAATAAAATTTCTGCAGTGTTATTATACTCTTTCCAGGTAACTGCTGTTGCAAATCAAGTGACACCATTAAACTATGACATAGCCGGAGAAATAGAAATCTCTTTTACTGCATCGAATGAGGACATTGATGTTTCTGTTGATAAGATAGAATTAATTGCATGTGAACAGTCAACCTCAGCAGGTCCAACCACTGTTTCATCAGCTACATCGGGACCTCCGATGACAAGTGGAATCACAGGTTTACCAAGTATAACGACAGTGCCACTAGTAGGTCAAACAGGAGGACCACCATCTACTACAGCAGTTCCATCGACGACAGGTGCAACAGAAGGAACAACATCTTCAACGGTAGCAGAACCATCAGGTTCAACTTCAGGTGCACCGAGTACAACGACAGCACCATCGACAGGTCCAACAGAAGGACCATCAACTTCAATGGCGACACCGACACCATCACCTGCACCCGAGGAATGCCCATCTATTGATTTGATGGAAGACTCAGGAGTTGGTCTGTCAATAACATATGACGATGAGATAATATCAGCTGACACTTTGATTGGTCTTCAAAGCTCGGATGATAATCGAAAACTAACTGTAACACCGTCATCGACCGTAACGATTTCACTTACCCAGGTATCAAGACTTGTGTCAATCAATGTGAATGGAGACAATATTCAGGAGATTACTTTGACTTATACAGATGAAATCACAAACCAGATAAAAACGGTACGTATAGGCAATTATTGCAGAAAGTATTTGAATACAAATCTTAAATGCTGTTTTTTGAAAGGCATTTTCTATCTAATTGATTACCTACACTAATTAATCTATTTGAACTTAAGTAGCCATTTTGATCTGAAAAGGTCTTAAAATATTAAACAATGCATTGATAACTCATGTTGAGTCTTTCTGTAAATCGTCAGACTTAATATCCACTAGAAACTGAATACTGTTCAGACACATCGCTTGCAGTCAATTTTAGTACTGTTTAAAAGTTGTAATGTGCCTGTTCAATTATACAAGGCTTTGAATTGTGCCAAATGCTAGTGTACAGTACTGGATTGAATACAAGTCTAAAGTCTGAACCGTATTGAACTGATGATTAGAAAATATCTGAAAAAACTCTTAAAAGACTTAACGGTTTTATGTGCAGACTTTTCGGGTAATGCTACAATCAAACTGGTTGTTTGAGAATTAAATTCATTTTACTAGTACAAATAGAGAAAAAATATCAACAGCAATAGAATATGCCAAACGGCTAAAACACAATCTTAAGAAAATTAGTTGAAGAAGGTTATTATTAATATTTATTATATTAGTAACAAGTTTTTTTTTATAATATTGGTCACAAGGTTTTATTAACATATGTCTTTTAGACCAAAATAAAACTTTATTGAGAAAAATTGCCTCCAATAATAGATAATGCAACGTTAATAAAATTTCTGCAGTGTTATTATACTCTTTCCAGGTAACTGCTGTTGCAAATCAAGTGACACCATTAAACTATGACATAGCCGGAGAAATAGAAATCTCTTTTACTGCATCGAATGAGGACATTGATGTTTCTGTTGATAAGATAGAATTAATTGCATGTGAACAGTCAACCTCAGCAGGTCCAACCACTGTTTCATCAGCTACATCGGGACCTCCGATGACAAGTGGAATCACAGGTTTACCAAGTATAACGACAGTGCCACTAGTAGGTCAAACAGGAGGACCACCATCTACTACAGCAGTTCCATCGACGACAGGTGCAACAGAAGGAACAACATCTTCAACGGTAGCAGAACCATCAGGTTCAACTTCAGGTGCACCGAGTACAACGACAGCACCATCGACAGGTCCAACAGAAGGACCATCAACTTCAATGGCGACACCGACACCATCACCTGCACCCGAGGAATGCCCATCTATTGATTTGATGGAAGACTCAGGAGTTGGTCTGTCAATAACATATGACGATGAGATAATATCAGCTGACACTTTGATTGGTCTTCAAAGCTCGGATGATAATCGAAAACTAACTGTAACACCGTCATCGACCGTAACGATTTCACTTACCCAGGTATCAAGACTTGTGTCAATCAATGTGAATGGAAACAATATTCAGGAGATTACTTTGACTTATACAGATGAAATCACAAACCAGATAAAAACGGTACGTATAGGCAATTATTGCAGAAAGTATTTGAATACAAATCTTAAATGCTGTTTTTTGAAAGGCATTTTCTATCTAATTGATTACCTACACTAATTAATCTATTTGAACTTAAGTAGCCATTTTGATCTGAAAAGGTCTTAAAATATTAAACAATGCATTGATAACTCATGTTGAGTCTTTCTGTAAATCGTCAGACTTAATATCCACTAGAAACTGAATACTGTTCAGACACATCGCTTGCAGTCAATTTTAGTACTGTTTAAAAGTTGTAATGTGCCTGTTCAATTATACAAGGCTTTGAATTGTGCCAAATGCTAGTGTACAGTACTGGATTGAATACAAGTCTAAAGTCTGAACCGTATTGAACTGATGATTAGAAAATATCTGAAAAAACTCTTAAAAGACTTAACGGTTTTATGTGCAGACTTTTCGGGTAATGCTACAATCAAACTGGTTGTTTGAGAATTAAATTCATTTTACTAGTACAAATAGAGAAAAAATATCAACAGCAATAGAATATGCCAAACGGCTAAAACACAATCTTAAGAAAATTAGTTGAAGAAGGTTATTATTAATATTTATTATATTAGTAACAAGTTTTTTTTTATAATATTGGTCACAAGGTTTTATTAACATATGTCTTTTAGACCAAAATAAAACTTTATTGAGAAAAATTGCCTCCAATAATAGATAATGCAACGTTAATAAAATTTCTGCAGTGTTATTATACTCTTTCCAGGTAACTGCTGTTGCAAATCAAGTGACACCATTAAACTATGACATAGCCGGAGAAATAGAAATCTCTTTTACTGCATCGAATGAGGACATTGATGTTTCTGTTGATAAGATAGAATTAATTGCATGTGAACAGTCAACCTCAGCAGGTCCAACCACTGTTTCATCAGCTACATCGGGACCTCCGATGACAAGTGGAATCACAGGTTTACCAAGTATAACGACAGTGCCACTAGTAGGTCAAACAGGAGGACCACCATCTACTACAGCAGTTCCATCGACGACAGGTGTAACAGAAGGAACAACATCTTCAACGGTAGCAGAACCATCAGGTTCAACTTCAGGTGCACCGAGTACAACGACAGCACCATCGACAGGTCCAACAGAAGGACTATCAACTTCAATGGCGACACCGACACCATCACCTGCACCCGAGGAATGCCCATCTATTGATTTGATTGAAGACTCAGGAGTTGGTCTGTCAATAACATATGACGATGAGATAATATCAGCTGACACTTTGATTGGTCTTCAAAGCTCGGATGATAATCGAAAACTAACTGTAACACCGTCATCGACCGTAACGATTTCACTTACCCAGGTATCAAGACTTGTGTCAATCAATGTGAATGGAGACAATATTCAGGAGATTACTTTGACTTATACAGATGAAATCACAAACCAGATAAAAACGGTACGTATAGGCAATTATTGCAGAAAGTATTTGAATACAAATCTTAAATGCTGTTTTTTGAAAGGCATTTTCTATCTAATTGATTACCTACACTAATTAATCTATTTGAACTTAAGTAGCCATTTTGATCTGAAAAGGTCTTAAAATATTAAACAATGCATTGATAACTCATGTTGAGTCTTTCTGTAAATCGTCAGACTTAATATCCACTAGAAACTGAATACTGTTCAGACACATCGCTTGCAGTCAATTTTAGTACTGTTTAAAAGTTGTAATGTGCCTGTTCAATTATACAAAGCTTTGAATTGTGCCAAATGCTAGTGTACAGTACTGGATTGAATACAAGTCTAAAGTCTGAACCGTATTGAACTGATGATTAGAAAATATCTGAAAAAACTCTTAAAAGACTTAACGGTTTTATGTGCAGACTTTTCGGGTAATGCTACAATCAAACTGGTTGTTTGAGAATTAAATTCATTTTACTAGTACAAATAGAGAAAAAATATCAACAGCAATAGAATATGCCAAACGGCTAAAACACAATCTTAAGAAAATTAGTTGAAGAAGGTAATTATTAATATTTATTATATTAGTAACAAGGTTTTTTTTATAATATTGGTCACAAGGTTTTATTAACATATGTCTTTTAGACCAAAATAAAACTTTATTGAGAAAAATTGCCTCCAATAATAGATAATGCAACGTTAATAAAATTTCTGCAGTGTTATTATACTCTTTCCAGGTAACTGCTGTTGCAAATCAAGTGACACCATTAAACTATGACATAGCCGGAGAAATAGAAATCTCTTTTACTGCATCGAATGAGGACATTGATGTTTCTGTTGATAAGATAGAATTAATTGCATGTGAACAGTCAACCTCAGCAGGTCCAACCACTGTTTCATCAGCTACATCGGGACCTCCGATGACAAGTGGAATCACAGGTTTACCAAGTATAACGACAGTGCCACTAGTAGGTCAAACAGGAGGACCACCATCTACTACAGCAGTTCCATCGACGACAGGTGCAACAGAAGGAACAACATCTTCAACGGTAGCAGAACCATCAGGTTCAACTTCAGGTGCACCGAGTACAACGACAGCACCATCGACAGGTCCAACAGAAGGACCATCAACTTCAATGGCGACACCGACACCATCACCTGCACCCGAGGAATGCCCATCTATTGATTTGATGGAAGACTCAGGAGTTGGTCTGTCAATAACATATGACGATGAGATAATATCAGCTGACACTTTGATTGGTCTTCAAAGCTCGGATGATAATCGAAAACTAACTGTAACACCGTCATCGACCGTAACGATTTCACTTACCCAGGTATCAAGACTTGTGTCAATCAATGTGAATGGAGACAATATTCAGGAGATTACTTTGACTTATACAGATGAAATCACAAACCAGATAAAAACGGTACGTATAGGCAATTATTGCAGAAAGTATTTGAATACAAATCTTAAATGCTGTTTTTTGAAAGGCATTTTCTATCTAATTGATTACCTACACTAATTAATCTATTTGAACTTAAGTAGCCATTTTGATCTGAAAAGGTCTTAAAATATTAAACAATGCATTGATAACTCATGTTGAGTCTTTCTGTAAATTGTCAGACTTAATATCCACTAGAAACTGAATACTGTTCAGACACATCGCTTGCAGTCAATTAAGATTTGTTCAGTCAATTTTAGTACTGTTTAAAAGTTGTAATGTACCTGTTAAATTATACAATGCTTTGAATTGTTCCAAATGCTAGTGTACAGTACTGGATTGAATACAAGTCTTAAGTCTGAACAGTATTGAACTGATGATTAGAAAATATCTGAAAAAACTCTTAAAAGACTTAACGGTTTTATGTGCAGACTTTTCGGGTAATGCTACAATCAAACTGGTTGTTTGAGAATTAAATTCATTTTACTAGTACAAATAGAGAAAAAATATCAACAGCAATAGAATATGCCAAACGGCTAAAACACAATCTTAAGAAAATTAGTTGAAGAAGGTTATTATTAATATTTATTATATTAGTAACAAGGTTTTTTTTATAATATTGGTCACAAGGTTTTATTAACATATGTCTTTTAGACCAAAATAAAACTTTATTGAGAAAAATTGCCTCCAATAATAGATAATGCAACGTTAATAAAATTTCTGCAGTGTTATTATACTCTTTCCAGGTAACTGCTGTTGCAAATCAAGTGACACCATTAAACTATGACATAGCCGGAGAAATAGAAATCTCTTTTACTGCATCGAATGAGGACATTGATGTTTCTGTTGATAAGATAGAATTAATTGCATGTGAACAGTCAACCTCAGCAGGTCCAACCACTGTTTCATCAGCTACATCGGGACCTCCGATGACAAGTGGAATCACAGGTTTACCAAGTATAACGACAGTGCCACTAGTAGGTCAAACAGGAGGACCACCATCTACTACAGCAGTTCCATCGACGACAGGTGCAACAGAAGGAACAACATCTTCAACGGTAGCAGAACCATCAGGTTCAACTTCAGGTGCACCGAGTACAACGACAGCACCATCGACAGGTCCAACAGAAGGACCATCAACTTCAATGGCGACACCGACACCATCACCTGCACCCGAGGAATGCCCATCTATTGATTTGATGGAAGACTCAGGAGTTGGTCTGTCAATAACATATGACGATGAGATAATATCAGCTGACACTTTGATTGGTCTTCAAAGCTCGGATGATAATCGAAAACTAACTGTAACACCGTCATCGACCGTAACGATTTCACTTACCCAGGTATCAAAACTTGTGTCAATCAATGTGAATGGAGACAATATTCAGGAGATTACTTTGACTTATACAGATGAAATCACAAACCAGATAAAAACGGTACGTATAGGCAATTATTGCAGAAAGTATTTGAATACAAATCTTAAATGCTGTTTTTTGAAAGGCATTTTCTATCTAATTGATTACCTACACTAATTAATCTATTTGAACTTAAGTAGCCATTTTGATCTGAAAAGGTCTTAAAATATTAAACAATGCATTGATAACTCATGTTGAGTCTTTCTGTAAATCGTCAGACTTAATATCCACTAGAAACTGAATACTGTTCAGACACATCGCTTGCAGTCAATTAAGATTTGTTCAGTCAATTTTAGTACTGTTTAAAAGTTGTAATGTACCTGTTAAATTATACAATGCTTTGAATTGTTCCAAATGCTAGTGTACAGTACTGGATTGAATACAAGTCTTAAGTCTGAACAGTATTGAACTGATGATTAGAAAATATCTGAAAAAACTCTTAAAAGACTTAACGGTTTTATGTGCAGACTTTTCGGGTAATGCTACAATCAAACTGGTTGTTTGAGAATTAAATTCATTTTACTAGTACAAATAGAGAAAAAATATCAACAGCAATAGAATATGCCAAACGGCTAAAACACAATCTTAAGAAAATTAGTTGAAGAAGGTTATTATTAATATTTATTATATTAGTAACAAGGTTTTTTTTATAATATTGGTCACAAGGTTTTATTAACATATGTCTTTTAGACCAAAATAAAACTTTATTGAGAAAAATTGCCTCCAATAATAGATAATGCAACGTTAATAAAATTTCTGCAGTGTTATTATACTTTTTCCAGGTAACTGCTGTTGCAAATCAAGTGACACCATTAAACTATGACATAGCCGGAGAAATAGAAATCTCTTTTACTGCATCGAATGAGGACATTGATGTTTCTGTTGATAAGATAGAATTAATTGCATGTGAACAGTCAACCTCAGCAGGTCCAACCACTGTTTCATCAGCTACATCGGGACCTCCGATGACAAGTGGAATCACAGGTTTACCAAGTAAAACGACAGTGCCACTAGTAGGTCAAACAGGAGGACCACCATCTACTACAGCAGTTCCATCGACGACAGGTGCAACAGAAGGAACAACATCTTCAACGGTAGCAGAACCATCAGGTTCAACCTCAGGTGCACCGAGTACAACGACAGCACCATCGACAGGTCCAACAGAAGGACCATCAACTTCAATGGCGACACCGACACCATCACCTGCACCCGAGGAATGCCCATCTATTGATTTGATGGAAGACTCAGGAGTTGGTCTGTCAATAACATATGACGATGAGATAATATCAGCTGACACTTTGATTGGTCTTCAAAGCTCGGATGATAATCGAAAACTAACTGTAACACCGTCATCGACCGTAACGATTTCACTTACCCAGGTATCAAGACTTGTGTCAATCAATGTGAATGGAGACAATATTCAGGAGATTACTTTGACTTATACAGATGAAATCACAAACCAGATTAAAACAGTACGTATAGGCAATTATTGCAGAAAGTATTTTAATACAAATCTTAAATGCTGTTTTTTGAAAGGCATTTTCTATCTAATTGATTACCTACACTAATTATTCTATTTGAACTTAAGTAGCAATTTTGATCTGAAAAGGTCTTAAAATATTAAACAATGCATTGATAACTCATGTTGAGTCTTTCTGTAAATCGTCAGACTTAATATCCACTAGAAACTGAATACTGTTCAGACACATCGCTTGCAGTCAATTAAGATTTGTTCAGTCAATTTTAGTACTGTTAAAAAGTTGTAATGTACCTGTTAAATTATACAAAGCTTTGAATTGTCCCAAATGCTAGTGTACAGTACTGGATTGAATACAAGTCTAAAGCCTGAACAGTATTGAACTGATTATTAGAAAATATCTGAAAAAACTCTTAAAAGACTTAACGGTTTTATGTGCAGACTTTTCGGGTAATGGTACAATCAAACTGGTTGTTTGAGAATTAAATTCATTTTACTAGTACAAATAGAGAAAAAATATCAACAGCAATAGAATATGCCAAACGGCTAAAACACAATCTTAAGAAAATTAGTTGAAGAAGGTTATTATTAATATTTATTATTATAGTAACAAGGTTTTTTTTATAATATTGGTCACAAGGTTTTATTAACATATGTCTTTTAGACCAAAATAAAACTTTATTGAGAAAAATTGCCTCCAATAATAGATAATGCAACGTTAATAGAATTTCTGCAGTGTTATTATACTCTTTCCAGGTAACTGCTGTTGCAAATCAAGTGACACCATTAAACTATGACATAGCCGGAGAAATAGAAATCTCTTTTACTGCATCGAATGAGGACATTGATGTTTCTGTTGATAAGATAGAATTAATTGCATGTGAACAGTCAACCTCAGCAGGTCCAACCACTGTTTCATCAGCTACATCGGGACCTCCGATGACAAGTGGAATCACAGGTTTACCAAGTATAACGACAGTGCCACTAGTAGGTCAAACAGGAGGACCACCATCTACTACAGCAGTTCCATCGACGACAGGTGCAACAGAAGGAACAACATCTTCAACGGTAGCAGAACCATCAGGTTCAACTTCAGGTGCACCGAGTACAACGACAGCACCATCGACAGGTCCAACAGAAGGACCATCAACTTCAATGGCGACACCGACACCATCACCTGCACCCGAGGAATGCCCATCTATTGATTTGATGGAAGACTCAGGAGTTGGTCTGTCAATAACATATGACGATGAGATAATATCAGCTGACACTTTGATTGGTCTTCAAAGCTCGGATGATAATCGAAAACTAACTGTAACACCGTCATCGACCGTAACGATTTCACTTACCCAGGTATCAAAACTTGTGTCAATCAATGTGAATGGAGACAATATTCAGGAGATTACTTTGACTTATACAGATGAAATCACAAACCAGATAAAAACGGTACGTATAGGCAATTATTGCAGAAAGTATTTGAATACAAATCTTAAATGCTGTTTTTTGAAAGGCATTTTCTATCTAATTGATTACCTACACTAATTAATCTATTTGAACTTAAGTAGCCATTTTGATCTGAAAAGGTCTTAAAATATTAAACAATGCATTGATAACTCATGTTGAGTCTTTCTGTAAATCGTCAGACTTAATATCCACTAGAAACTGAATACTGTTCAGACACATCGCTTGCAGTCAATTAAGATTTGTTCAGTCAATTTTAGTACTGTTTAAAAGTTGTAATGTACCTGTTAAATTATACAATGCTTTGAATTGTTCCAAATGCTAGTGTACAGTACTGGATTGAATACAAGTCTTAAGTCTGAACAGTATTGAACTGATGATTAGAAAATATCTGAAAAAACTCTTAAAAGACTTAACGGTTTTATGTGCAGACTTTTCGGGTAATGCTACAATCAAACTGGTTGTTTGAGAATTAAATTCATTTTACTAGTACAAATAGAGAAAAAATATCAACAGCAATAGAATATGCCAAACGGCTAAAACACAATCTTAAGAAAATTAGTTGAAGAAGGTTATTATTAATATTTATTATATTAGTAACAAGGTTTTTTTTATAATATTGGTCACAAGGTTTTATTAACATATGTCTTTTAGACCAAAATAAAACTTTATTGAGAAAAATTGCCTCCAATAATAGATAATGCAACGTTAATAAAATTTCTGCAGTGTTATTATACTTTTTCCAGGTAACTGCTGTTGCAAATCAAGTGACACCATTAAACTATGACATAGCCGGAGAAATAGAAATCTCTTTTACTGCATCGAATGAGGACATTGATGTTTCTGTTGATAAGATAGAATTAATTGCATGTGAACAGTCAACCTCAGCAGGTCCAACCACTGTTTCATCAGCTACATCGGGACCTCCGATGACAAGTGGAATCACAGGTTTACCAAGTAAAACGACAGTGCCACTAGTAGGTCAAACAGGAGGACCACCATCTACTACAGCAGTTCCATCGACGACAGGTGCAACAGAAGGAACAACATCTTCAACGGTAGCAGAACCATCAGGTTCAACCTCAGGTGCACCGAGTACAACGACAGCACCATCGACAGGTCCAACAGAAGGACCATCAACTTCAATGGCGACACCGACACCATCACCTGCACCCGAGGAATGCCCATCTATTGATTTGATGGAAGACTCAGGAGTTGGTCTGTCAATAACATATGACGATGAGATAATATCAGCTGACACTTTGATTGGTCTTCAAAGCTCGGATGATAATCGAAAACTAACTGTAACACCGTCATCGACCGTAACGATTTCACTTACCCAGGTATCAAGACTTGTGTCAATCAATGTGAATGGAGACAATATTCAGGAGATTACTTTGACTTATACAGATGAAATCACAAACCAGATTAAAACAGTACGTATAGGCAATTATTGCAGAAAGTATTTTAATACAAATCTTAAATGCTGTTTTTTGAAAGGCATTTTCTATCTAATTGATTACCTACACTAATTATTCTATTTGAACTTAAGTAGCAATTTTGATCTGAAAAGGTCTTAAAATATTAAACAATGCATTGATAACTCATGTTGAGTCTTTCTGTAAATCGTCAGACTTAATATCCACTAGAAACTGAATACTGTTCAGACACATCGCTTGCAGTCAATTAAGATTTGTTCAGTCAATTTTAGTACTGTTAAAAAGTTGTAATGTACCTGTTAAATTATACAAAGCTTTGAATTGTCCCAAATGCTAGTGTACAGTACTGGATTGAATACAAGTCTAAAGCCTGAACAGTATTGAACTGATGATTAGAAAATATCTGAAAAAACTCTTAAAAGACTTAACGGTTTTATGTGCAGACTTTTCGGGTAATGGTACAATCAAACTGGTTGTTTGAGAATTAAATTCATTTTACTAGTACAAATAGAGAAAAAATATCAACAGCAATAGAATATGCCAAACGGCTAAAACACAATCTTAAGAAAATTAGTTGAAGAAGGTTATTATTAATATTTATTATTATAGTAACAAGGTTTTTTTTATAATATTGGTCACAAGGTTTTATTAACATATGTCTTTTAGACCAAAATAAAACTTTATTGAGAAAAATTGCCTCCAATAATAGATAATGCAACGTTAATAGAATTTCTGCAGTGTTATTATACTCTTTCCAGGTAACTGCTGTTGCAAATCAAGTGACACCATTAAACTATGACATAGCCGGAGAAATAGAAATCTCTTTTACTGCATCGAATGAGGACATTGATGTTTCTGTTGATAAGATAGAATTAATTGCATGTGAACAGTCAACCTCAGCAGGTCCAACCACTGTTTCATCAGCTACATCGGGACCTCCGATGACAAGTGGAATCACAGGTTTACCAAGTATAACGACAGTGCCACTAGTAGGTCAAACAGGAGGACCACCATCTACTACAGCAGTTCCATCGACGACAGGTGCAACAGAAGGAACAACATCTTCAACGGTAGCAGAACCATCAGGTTCAACTTCAGGTGCACCGAGTACAACGACAGCACCATCGACAGGTCCAACAGAAGGACCATCAACTTCAATGGCGACACCGACACCATCACCTGCACCCGAGGAATGCCCATCTATTGATTTGATGGAAGACTCAGGAGTTGGTCTGTCAATAACATATGACGATGAGATAATATCAGCTGACACTTTGATTGGTCTTCAAAGCTCGGATGATAATCGAAAACTAACTGTAACACCGTCATCGACCGTAACGATTTCACTTACCCAGGTATCAAGACTTGTGTCAATCAATGTGAATGGAGACAATATTCAGGAGATTACTTTGACTTATACAGATGAAATCACAAACCAGATAAAAACGGTACGTATAGGCAATTATTGCAGAAAGTATTTGAATACAAATCTTAAATGCTGTTTTTTGAAAGGCATTTTCTATCTAATTGATTACCTACACTAATTAATCTATTTGAACTTAAGTAGCCATTTTGATCTGAAAAGGTCTTAAAATATTAAGTAATGCATTGATAACTCATGTTGAGTCTTTCTGTAAATCGTCAGACTTAATCTCCACTAGAAACTGAATACTGTTCAGACACATCGCTTGCAGTCAATTAAGATTTGTTCAGTCAATTTTAGTACTGTTTAAAAGTTGTAATGTACCTGTTAAATTATACAAAGCTTTGAATTGTCCCAAATGCTAGTGTACAGTACTGGATTGAATACAAGTCTAAAGCCTGAACAGTATTGAACTGATGATTAGAAAATATCTGAAAAAACTCTTAAAAGACTTAAAGGTTTTATGTGCAGACTGTTCGGGTAATGCTACAATCAAACTGGTTGTTTGAGAATTAAATTCATTTTACTAGTACAAATAGAGAAAAAATATCAACAGCAATAGAATATGCCAAACGGCTAAAACACAATCTTAAGAAAATTAGTTGAAGAAGGTTATTATTAATATTAATTAAATTAGTAACAAGGTTTTTTATAATATTGGTCACAAGGTTTTATTAACATATGTCTTTTAGACCAAAATAAAACTTTATTGAGAAAAATGGTCTCCAATAATAGATAATGCAACGTTAATAAAATTTCTGCAGTGTTATTATACTCTTTCCAGGTAACTGCTGTGGCAAATCAAGTGACACCATTAAACTATGACTTAGCCGGAGAAATAGAAATCTCTTTTACTGCATCGAATGAGGACATTGATGTTTCTGTTGATAAGATAGAATTAATTGCATGTGAACAGTCAACCTCAGCAGGTCCAACCACTGTTTCATCAGCTACATCGGGACCTCCGATGACAAGTGGAATCACAGGTTTACCAAGTATAACGACAGTGCCACTAGTAGGTCAAACAGGAGGACCACCATCTACTACAGCAGTTCCATCGACGACAGGTGCAACAGAAGGAACAACATCTTCAACGGTAGCAGAACCATCAGGTTCAACTTCAGGTGCACCGAGTACAACGACAGCACCATCGACAGGTCCAACAGAAGGACCATCAACTTCAATGGCGACACCGACACCATCACCTGCACCCGAGGAATGCCCATCTATTGATTTGATGGAAGACTCAGGAGTTGGTCTGTCAATAACATATGACGATGAGATAATATCAGCTGACACTTTGATTGGTCTTCAAAGCTCGGATGATAATCGAAAACTAACTGTAACACCGTCATCGACCGTAACGATTTCACTTACCCAGGTATCAAGACTTGTGTCAATCAATGTGAATGGAGACAATATTCAGGAGATTACTTTGACTTATACAGATGAAATCACAAACCAGATAAAAACGGTACGTATAGGCAATTATTGCAGAAAGTATTTGAATACAAATCTTAAATGCTGTTTTTTGAAAGGCATTTTCTATCTAATTGATTACCTACACTAATTTATCTATTTGAAGTTAAGTAGCCATTTTGATCTGAAAAGGTCTTAAAATTTTAAATAATGCATTGATAACTCATGTTGAGTCTTTCTGTAAATCGTCAGACTTAATCTCCACTAGAAACTGAATACTGTTCAGACACATCGCTTGCAGTCAATTTTAGTACTGTTTAAAAGTTGTAATGTGCCTGTTCAATTATACAAAGCTTTGAATTGTGCCAAATGCTAGTGTACAGTACTGGATTGAATACAAGTCTAAAGTCTGAACCGTATTGAACTGATGATTAGAAAATATCTGAAAAAACTCTTAAAAGACTTAACGGTTTTATGTGCAGACTGTTCGGGTAATGCTACAATCAAACTGGTTGTTTGAGAATTAAATTCATTTTACGAGGGTTGTCCGTAAAGTTTGAAGACAATCTCAATAAAATATTATTTACCCGTCCGAAATGAATAAAACAAGTATATAACTAATTTACTGATTTACTGATTAAGTGTACAAAATTTTATTACAGTACCTGCTTAAATAATCGTATTTTCATCAATTTAAAAATCATAAGAAACTCTCAACCGGAGCACCCAAACAAATATTTCCGACGTTCAGACGTTCGACGACGTCAACATTTTAACTTTTCTCAACGTAGTCTCCTTTCAAAGCAACACATTTTTACATCTTTTTAACCAGTCATCAAATATTTTCTCAAACTGTTCTGTTTTCATTTTTAAGATTATGTTCATTACTTCCTGTCTTAGTTCAGGTAAATCGTCGAACCTTTGTCCACGGAGAAAAGATTTGATATGCGGGAATACCGCAAAATCCATTGGCGCTAAGTCAGGGCTATACGGAGGATGTTTCAGACATTCGAATCCAAGTAAATCAATTTCTAGATTAGTTTTTAGAGAAGTGTGGGCCGGTGCATTGTCTTGGTGTAATATCACTTGCTCTATGTTGGCTGCTAAATAAGGGCGTTTCTTTCTCAAAGCTTGAACCAAATCTCGCCTCAGTACCTGAAAGTACAAAATAAACGGACTTTTAATCGTATTGCATCTAAATTAAAAATAAGATTGATAATTTATTTTTTATTCTTTGATAAACACCTTCTTAAACTGTTTATTTCATTTTATTTAAGTTTTAATTATTAATTTAAGATCGTTCATTATTTTTAAAAGCAAATATTATGTTAAATACCTTGGAGTAGTATTCAGAATTAACAGTCTGGCCACGGGGTACAGCATGTGTCAGTAACATTCCTTTTCGGTCCATGAAGAGAATGAACATATTCTTTCCCATTGATTTGGTTACCTTTGCCTTCTTTGGTGGCGGTGAGTAACAGTTTTTCCACTGACTTGACTGTTGTTTAGTTTCCGGATCGTAGTAATGAAACCAGCTTTCGTCGGTTGTAATTATTCCGTCTAGAAATCGTATGCCACCACGAGAAACTTTTTTAATAAATTGATTTGACAATTCCATTCTTTTTGTTAAATGTTCTGCTGTAAGAAGTCGCGGTACCCATCTAGCACATACTCGATTCATATTTAAATCATTTGCTAAAATGTGGTGCGCTGTAGTCTTAGAAATGTCACATTTGTCTGCAACTTCGCGAACTGTTAGTCGCCGGTCACTGTTGATAACGTTCAGAACTTCATTTTTTATCGCATCTGATTTCCTGAAAGATGGCCTACCTTCCCGCTCATCGTCTTCCAAATTGTCTCTTCCGTCCCCAAACCTTTTGTGCCACTTGAATACCAATGAACGACTAACTTTGCTATGTTTCTCAGACTGTTTTAAGAATTTGTGTGTTTCTGTTGGCGTTTTTCCGATGTCTACACAAAACTTTATAACCGCCCGCTGCTCCACCTTTTCCGTAAATTTCCTTTTTTTCAGTGATGCCGATTCTGGATTCAATGCTTCAAATCGAGATTTCTCCGCCATTTCGAAATTTTGACCATTCAAATTTAGCAGGTGTAACGTCAAGACTATTGTCGACGTCACAATGTAAGTTTCATGTATATTTTGGCGGATTTTGAAACTTAAAATAACAAAAATATGAAAACACCAGCCTGCATGTTATGTGATATTTTCGCGGTGCTCCGGGTCCCTATTGCTTATATTTATATGAAGTAAGTGTTTTTATTTCGCATTGAAAATTGGACAAATATTGATATAACCGAACTAGGATATAGTTCAGGATTACAAATATGCAAAAAGAATTTACCTGAAATGCTATTTTTACGCAGACTTCAGCTTGTCCACGAACTTTACGGACAACCCTCGTACTAGTACAAATAGAGAAAAAATATCAACAGCAATAGAATATGCCAAACGGCTAAAACACAATCTTAAGAAAATTAGTTGAAGAAGGTTACTATTAATATTAATTATATTAGTAACAAGGTTTTTTTTTATAATATTGGTCACAAGGTTTTATTAACATATGTCTTTTAGACCAAAATAAAACTTTATTGAGAAAAATTGCCTCCAATAATAGATAATGCAACGTTAATAAAATTTCTGCAGTGTTATTATACTCTTTCCAGGTAACTGCTGTTGCAAATCAAGTGACACCATTAAACTATGACATAGCCGGAGAAATAGAAATCTCTTTTACTGCATCGAATGAGGACATTGATGTTTCTGTTGATAAGATAGAATTAATTGCATGTGAACAGTCAACCTCAGCAGGTCCAACCACTGTTTCATCAGCTTCATCGGGACCTCCGATGACAAGTGGAATCACAGGTTTACCAAGTATAACGACAGTGCCACTAGTAGGTCAAACAGGAGGACCACCATCTACTACAGCAGTTCCATCGACGACAGGTGCAACAGAAGGAACAACATCTTCAACGGTAGCAGAACCATCAGGTTCAACTTCAGGTGCACCGAGTACAACGACAGCACCATCGACAGGTCCAACAGAAGGACCATCAACTTCAATGGCGACACCGACACCATCACCTGCACCCGAGGAATGCCCATCTATTGATTTGATGGAAGACTCAGGAGTTGGTCTGTCAATAACATATGACGATGAGATAATATCAGCTGACACTTTGATTGGTCTTCAAAGCTCGGATGATAATCGAAAACTAACTGTAACACCGTCATCGACCGTAACGATTTCACTTACCCAGGTATCAAGACTTGTGTCAATCAATGTAAATGGAGACAATATTCAGGAGATTACTTTGACTTATACAGATGAAATCACAAACCAGATAAAAACGGTACGTATAGGCAATTATTGCAGAAAGTATTTGAATACAAATCTTAAATGCTGTTTTTTGAAAGGCATTTTCTATCTAATTGATTACCTACACTTATTAATCTATTTGAACTTAAGTAGCCATTTTGATCTGAAAAGGTCTTAAAATATTAAATAATGCATTGATAACTCATGTTGAGTCTTTCTGTAAATCGTCAGACTTAATCTCCACTAGAAACTGAATACTGTTCAGACACATCGCTTGCAGTCAATTAAGAATTGTTCAGTCAATTTTAGTACTGTTTAAAAGTTATAATGTACCTGTTAAATTATACAAAGCTTTGAATTGTCCCAAATGCTAGTGTACAGTACTGGACTGAATACAAGTCTAAAGCCTGAACAGTATTGAACTGATGATTAGAAAATATCTGAAAAAACTCTTAAAAGACTTAACAGTTTTATGTGCAGACTTTTCGGGTAATGCTACAATCAAACAGGTTGTTTGAGAATTAAATTCATTTTACTAGTACAAATAGAGAAAAAATATCAACAGCAATAGAATATGCCAAACGGCTAAAACACAATCTTAAGAAAATTAGTTGAAGAAGGTTATTATTAATATTTATTATATTAGTAACAAGGTTTTTTTTTATAATATTGGTCACAAGGTTTTATTAACATATGTCTTTTAGACCAAAATAAAACTTTATTGAGAAAAATTGCCTCCAATAATAGATAATGCAACGTTAATAGAATTTCTGCAGTGTTATTATACTCTTTCCAGGTAACTGCTGTTGCAAATCAAGTGACACCATTAAACTATGACATAGCTGGAGAAATAGAAATCTCTTTTACTGCATCGAATGAGGACATTGATGTTTCTGTTGATAAGATAGAATTAATTGCATGTGAACAGTCAACCTCAGCAGGTCCAACCACTGTTTCATCAGCTACATCGGGACCTCCGATGACAAGTGGAATCACAGGTTTACCAAGTATAACGACAGTGCCACTAGTAGGTCAAACAGGAGGACCACCATCTACTACAGCAGTTCCATCGACGACAGGTGCAACAGAAGGAACAACATCTTCAACGGTAGCAGAACCATCAGGTTCAACTTCAGGTGCACCGAGTACAACGACAGCACCATCGACAGGTCCAACAGAAGGACCATCAACTTCAATGGCGACACCGACACCATCACCTGCACCCGAGGAATGCCCATCTATTGATTTGATGGAAGACTCAGGAGTTGGTCTGTCAATAACATATGACGATGAGATAATATCAGCTGACACTTTGATTGGTCTTCAAAGCTCGGATGATAATCGAAAACTAACTGTAACACCGTCATCGACCGTAACGATTTCACTTACCCAGGTATCAAGACTTGTGTCAATCAATGTGAATGGAGACAATATTCAGGAGATTACTTTGACTTATACAGATGAAATCACAAACCAGATAAAAACGGTACGTATAGGCAATTATTGCAGAAAGTATTTGAATACAAATCTTAAATGCTGTTTTTTGAAAGGCATTTTCTATCTAATTGATTACCTACACTAATTAATCTATTTGAACTTAAGTAGCCATTTTGATCTGAAAAGGTCTTAAAATATTAAATAATGCATTGATAACTCATGTTGAGTCTTTCTGTAAATCGTCAGACTTAATCTCCACTAGAAACTGAATACTGTT